ACCTCTGTTCTCGGCCCACAGACAGCATGATCCGAGTGGGGACCAATTACCAAGCAGTGATTCCTGAGTGCAAGCCTGGTGAGGAGGCACGCGGCTGTGTTGGGATCAGGGGACAGGACTTGGTGGCTGGTGGAAAGTCTTTCTCTGCTGTCCTTTCTGGTTCTCTGCCCTTCCTGTCCTTCCCCCTTTAGCCTGCTGCTCTAAAGCCTAGCCAGCCAGCGTCATCCATGTGTCCCTTCCCTCCTCACACAGAGAGCCCGGCCCGCTACAGTAACAAGGAGCTGAAGGGGATGCTGGTGTGGTCACCTAATCACTGTGTGTCAGACGCCAAGTGTGAGCTGGGGGCTGGGGCCCCTGGGGTTAGCCTGGGGGGAGGGGGAACTACCCGAGTTGAGCTGAATTTCTGGGAACAGGATTATGGACTGGGATGCCTCAGTTCAGACCTATCCCTGGTAGGGGGGACTAGGTCCTAGACCTATGTCGGGGGGCTGGGGCTGGAGCCTAGGACTCCTAGGTTCAGTCTCCTCCCTGGGAGGGAGGCTGCAGGGTGGGATGCCTGGATTTGTCCCCCATAGTCCACCCAGGGTGTCAGAGCTGGGAAACCTTAGTTCAGATTCCATTCTGGGAAGGGGGCTAAAGGCCAGAGTCTTGCTTTGTTCTCCACATGGGGGGGAGGGGTGGTCATTGACTGGGATGTCTAGATTCAGACCCATCTGTGGGAGGGGAGCCCAGGAGAGCTAGGGTTTCATTCCTCCCAGCTGGGAGTTGGGATGCCTGAGTTTGGACCCATGTCTAGGAAAAGAGTTTCAGACTGGGATGCCCAGACTTGCCCTCTCTGAAAAGGGGCTGGGTTGGGAGCTCTGGTTTCTCCTTACCGGACCACTTCTTCTCTCATCAGTGGACAAGTACATTGCAATGGCCAAAGAGAAGCATGGTTATAACATTGAGCAGGTCAGTCTGGCCCCAGCCAGGGATAAAGGTGCGGGAGGCAGAGGAGAGCTCCACGGGAAGGAGGATGCTGCTACAAGTGGGCAGGTGACTTAAAGGACAATCTCCCCATTTGGGATTAGGCCCTGGGCATGCTGCTGTGGCACAAGCATGATGTGGAGAAGTCTCTGGCAGACCTGGCCAACTTCACCCCTTTTCCGGATGAGTGGACCGTGGAGGACAAGGTGCTGTTTGAACAAGCCTTTGGCTTCCATGGAAAGTGCTTCCAGCGAATCCAGCAGATGGTATGCGCCCCTAGCCTGGGGGGGGGGAGGCAAGGCTCCCAGAATCCCTTCCTTCTTCCCCCAGAGCCCCACAAGCCAGATACAGCATCCTTAGACCTCCACACCCCTCCTCGGTATCCTCCATTCAGCCTCTTGCCAACCACCAGCCCTTCCTTCACCCAGCTGCCAGACAAGCTCATCCCCAGTCTGGTTAAATACTACTATTCTTGGAAGAAGACTCGGAGCCGTACTAGCGTCATGGACCGCCAGGCCCGGAGGCTGGGTGGCCGAAAGGACAAGGATGATAGGTGGGGTCGAAAGGACAGGGAAGCGAGGTGGGGCTGGTGAGGGCTTCCCCAGGGAGTGAGAGGGGAGGCCCTGAGAACAGGAGGGCGAGGCTGGGGAGGGTCACAAGAGTGGGGGAAGGGAAGCCAAGGGATTGGGGCTGGGGCTTGATACATGCCTTTGGGAGGGCTTTGACTAGGATCTCATCTGCTCCCTGGACCCTCTGCCAGCAGTGATGAGTTGGAAGACGGAAGAGGAGCCACTAGTGAGGGAGAGCCAGATGCTGGGGACCCCAAGAGAGAGGTGAGGTCCAGCTGGGCTAGACCCTGTGACCCCTAGCCCCCCTACTCACAGCTCCATCCCCTTCCCTGATTCCCTGGCTGTCTCTTCCTTCACCTTGCTGTTCTCAATTTCCCCAACAGCCGCCCCCCACCCGACCCTTGAACGCCCGGCCCGGCCCAGGGAAGAAGGAGGCTCAACTCTCTCAGTATCGCCACCACCCTCTTCGGACCCGGCGCCGCCCACCGAAGGGCATGTACCTGAGCCCTGAGGGCATCACAGCTGTCTCTGGCAGCCCTGACCTTGCCAGTCTCACCCTTCGGGGCCTGGACTCCCAGCTGGTCTCCCTCAAGCGCCAGGTTGGTTGGCAAGAAAGGACCCTATCTCAAGAGGGCGAAGGTGGGAGGCTAGAAGGGGTTCAGCTGGTGGGAGACAGAATCTGAGGGAGAAGGGGAGAGGGAGCCCAAAGCGTGGGGGTTAGGAAAGCCTTTGCAGGGGATCCCCCGACGTAGGAAAGGAACACTGGCGCCCCCAAGGTTCAAATCCTAACTTGGGAAGTCACTTCTCTGGTTCTTCAACTGCAAATTACTATGATCCTGAGGTTTGGGTTTTCTTCTCTCTTTCCTGCAGGAGGCAGCTAGGTGGTGCTATAGGGCATAGAGTGCCAAACCGGAGTCAGGAAGACCCGAGTTCAAATTCAGCCTCAGATACTTACTAGCTTAACTGCAGTCTGCCTCAGTTTCAACTGTAAAATGGGGATAATAGCACCTCCTTTTGACGGGCTGTTGGGAAGGTCCAGTGAGGTCGTCTGTGAAGTGCTCACTAGCACAGTATCAGATGAGACAGACATCTAATAAATGATTGTTGCGTTTCCTTTCAGGTACAGAGCATGAAACAGGCCAACAGCAGCCTTCGCCAAGCCCTAGAGGGCGGCATCGATCCACTCCGTCCCCCCGAGGTGAGGCTGTTGCTAGGGTTCCGTGGATGTACGTGCAGGGGAACTGAGGTCCTGGACTTGTAGGAGGGAAGGAGGAGTTGGCCCATGGAAGCATAATCCCTGTTTCTTGGGTTTAAAAGTGGCTTCTTCCCTCCTCTCTCCAGGCGAATACCAAGTACAATTCCCGATGGACCACAGACGAACAGCTTCTGGCTGTACAAGGTGAGGGGGGGGGGGATGCGTGAGGGGGACATATGGGGGTGACAGAGGGGGCGGGGAGGGACTAAGGTGGGCAAGTCGTCGGTTGGCCAGGTCTCCTCTGTGTCCTAAGAGCTTTCCTTGCTCCGAGGCCCCTCCCCGTTTCTGAGGCTTTACCCTCTTGACCACCCTGCCTCCCCTCAGCCATCCGAAGATATGGGAAGGACTTCGGCGCCATCGCAGAGGTGATTGGGAACAAGACGTTAACCCAGGTGAAGACCTTCTTTGTGAGCTACCGCCGGGCGCTTCAATCTGGAAGAGGTGCTGCAGGAATGGGAAGCTGAACAGGATGGGGCTGCCGGGGCCCCGGCTCCCCCCGACGAGGCTCGCAAGGGGCTCCCAGCCCCCACTGCTGCCAATGAGGAGGAAGAAGAGGTGAGGAGGAGGGTAGGGGGCAGCTGGGGCTGGGAGCCCAGCTCGGGTCTTCACTTGGCCAAGTCCCCTGCTCTGGAATGAGAGCTGGACTGGCCGGCAGCGTTCCTGCCTGTACATTTTAGAACCATGCTGTCCTCCCCAGGAAAGGAAGAAGTTCTTGAGAGATGGGGAGGTTTCAGTGTAAGGGCAAGACCCGGATTCAAATCCTCAGCCTTTCCCCTTGCTACCTGTGATCTAGGACAAGTCACTTAAGCTCAGGGATCTCCTCAGGGACCTAAGGAGGAGGGCTGGCCTCTGTACCTGTGCCCCTAGAATCCAGCCCGTGGGTTCTCTTCCTACAGGTCCAGATCACTGCAGTGTCTCGGTCAGTGCCTCCGGTGCAGCCCGCACCCCCTCCTCCCACCTCACTGTCTCAGCCACCCCCACTGCTTCGCCCCCCATTGCCTACAGCCCCTACCCTTCTCCGCCAGCCCCCTCCGCTACAGCAGGGCCGATTCCTCCAGCCAAGACTGGCTCCCAACCAACCACCCCCCCCTCTCATCCGCCCTGCCCTTGCAGCCTCCAGACACAGCACCAGGGGTGGACCCCAGCCACCACCTGCTTTACTAGGGGGCCCCTTGGAGCCCCCACCCCCTTCACTATAAGTCCTTACCCCCTATCCCCACCCTGGGCACCTGAGCCCCCCACCCTGCAGCAGATGATCATGGGCCTGTGACGGGCACAACCTAAGACGTTGTGGGGTCCTGGCAGACGGGAAGTGAGGCCAGCATCTGGACACTGGCATTTGTGGGGGTTGGACAGCTGCTCCTCTCCCCACAAGTACCAGGGGTGGGATCTTTGGCTCAAGGCAGCCCCCTGGCCAACCCTATGCCTGCTTCCTGGAGCTGCCCAAGCTCCAAACTGGAATGTTGCCTCTGGTTGAACTGTTTCTCTGGGATTTTCCGCCCTCCTTCTCCCAGCCCTGTCTCTCCCTGGTAGTGGGTATGTTAGTGACTGTAGAGTAGAGCTAAATTAGGGCAGGCAGAAGGGCTCAGGAGAGAGGGCTGCTCCCTGCCTTACACTCTGAAGGCTTGGGAGCCAGAGTGGTGGGAGGGGTAGGGAGTCATGGCAATAAATCGTGGGGTGGGGTGGGAAGAGAGCTATGTCAGGGAAGGGGGGAGGGGAGGGAGTGGGGGCACCAATGGGATGAGATTTGCCCCCCTTGGGGGTGTTGAGTAGAGAGGAGGGAGCCCTCTTCCACCCACTGGTGGGGAGACCTAGCTCCCTGAACCCGGCAGGTGTGGCCTCTGCTGGGACAGGGCAGCCACAAGGATGTTGGCTCGGGCTTCAGGCCTGTGTCTCTCTCCACCCAATGCTAGTGGGGGTGTGTGGGTGTGTGTGAGTGTGTGTGGGTGTGTGTGTGTAAAACAACTTCAGGCTGGAGAAAGAAAAGCCACCTGAATTTATTTTTTGTCAGTTTTTAAAATAAAACTTTTTTTTAAAGCTCCCTGGGTGAGGCCCTCGATTTCCCAGCCTCAGCACACCCTCCCCTGGGGGGAGGGGCCTGGGGGGACCCCTCAGTGACAGCAGCAACAGCTCCCCCTCCTCCACACCTGGTGGCTGCTCCAGGTCTAGCCCAGGCCAGTGAGAAGAAAGGAGAGGCAGCAGCCGTGGCCCAAGGCTCAGATTCCAAACATTCTCTTTATTACGTGTGTCTGATCCAGAGGAGAAACTAAGTATGGGAAGGGGGAGGAGGTTGAAAGGGCACTGTGAGGGGAGGGGGGGGAGGGACCTGACCTTCTGGTCCCTGGGGCCCCCCCGCCCCCCCCCCAAGCTGAGCTGTTCCCCTCCTGGGTCCCACTGATCACCCTGGGTGGGCTACGAGGGAGGAGGGGTGGAGATGGAGGGGTAAAGCCCTTGGTCCGGAGCCGGAGCCTTCTTTTGGGGTGGGAGGGAGTTTATCAAGACCCCCTTCCTGGAACCCAGAGGCTCTGCTCACTGCTGCGCCTCAGGCTGGGAGGTGGGAGGGATGGAGAAAGGGAAGTCATCATAAATCAAAAACAAAAAAACCCAAAATAAAATAATAATAATAAAAAATAAAACCCATCACAAAAAATGTACAACTCAGATGCGGGGGGGAGCAGCTTCTGTGCACGTCCCCTCCCTCCCCCACCTCATTTCTCAAGAACAGAAACAGCAGAGAAATAAATTAAGGGCTGCAGTGGCCACCACCAGCTGAACGCCCCTGGTGCCCTTCCAGCCTCCAGTCTGGGGAAGGGCACGGGAGCGCATCAGCAACGTCTTCCCCCCAAGGGCAGCACTGGACGTGCCACCCGCCTCAGCCTAGAACCTCAGGCGCCTCACTTCTCCTGGGGGAGATGGAGGCCAAGGGGCAAGTGTCATGAAGCAAAGCTAGAAACAGAAGCTTGAGGAGACAGGAGACTGGGAAGAGAGAGGCAGAAAAATCCCACTGCTCCAAACCTAGCCGGTGCCCAAATTAATGCCGACGGAGAGATGGGGGAGGGGGGGGAAGATGTGCTTGCAGACAAGGGCCTCTCCCAGAAAGGAGAACACTCTGTCCTCCCCAGTCCTAGGGACAGGGGAAGCAGCAGCAGGCCCCACGAGAACCCAATGCCCATCGCTGGCATCTCCCTCCCAGCCTGGCAGCCCCCAGACCCATGTTCCCTAGACATTTGGCAGGGGGAGGGGGAAGTCCCAGGAATTGACCGACCCTGTCATCAGCCTCTCGGGGGAGGAGAGTACGGGGGAGAAAGGCTGCCCCCCCTCCCCCCTAACAGCAGCTTGTGGAAAGTAAATGCCCAGCAAAGGGGGGTGGGGGGATAGGAGGAAATGGCACCGAAAGAAGACCCCCCTCCCCCTCCTCAGCCCAGAACAATCTCTTCCCTTGCCCACAGCACCAACCCCCCGCCCCAGTCTTAACTATGGGCACTCAATGCTAGGGGCCTGAGTCTAGAAAGGCAACCCCTGGTGGTTTATTTAGGAGAAGATGGAAGGCAGGGCAAAACCCCCAACTGGCCCCGGGGAGGGGGAGGACGAAGGGGCAGCGAATTCTCCCCTTCCCTCTCTACGAAGAGGACGAAGAGGACGATCCAGCCTCGAGCGATTCCCAGGGGGAGGAAACGCCATCAATCCAGTCTGTGCTGCCCCAGAAGGGCAGGGAGCCGTCCGCTGCATTTTCTTTTTTTGGTAATAAAAAAATTCTTGGTTTCGGCGAAATACTCTGTGCAACCGCAGTACCTGGGGGTACCCCGCCCCCACGCCCCCCTACATTCCTTGTTTCACGTTGGGGGGTCGTGGAGGGGGGAGAATGACCTTCCCTCCCCCACAAATGCGGAGGAAAAAACTGAAAAGGAAAGGGGGGCCGGCCCAGCTGCAGCCCCGCCCCAGGGCGCGCACGCCCTCGCTGGTCCTGGGCTGGGGGCGCGGCCCCCCGGCAGCCTGTTAGAGCTTAAGCTCGTTGGCAATCTTGGAGGCGATGTTCTTAAAGGCCATGGAGGTGCCCGATATCCGCTTGAAGCGCACGCCATTGAGGGAGAGGCGCGGCAGCTTGCACACCTCCATCTCCCACTGCACGAAGGTCTCGTGGCCCGGGGTGCCGTGCACGCACAGGAGCATGAACTTCTCCTGCAGCTCGCATTGGCAGTTGTTAGCGTCCAGCACCTTCCGGATCTCCCGCATCATCTCGTTGGGCTCCATGGAGCTGGTCGTCTTCATGCTCCAGGTGAAGCGCAGAGAGCGCGGCTTGGCCTCCCGGTTCTCGTCCTTGTCCTTGTCGCTGCCCCCGCCGCCCACCATGTGAGGTCTGCAGGGGCAAGAGGCGGAGGGGGTTAGGCTCGGGCCCCTCGGAGCGTGAGGCACGCCCGCGGGATGGGGGGGGAGGCAGGGAGGAAGGGGGGGCCGAGAAGGGAGGGCAGAGCCGGTCCCTCCTCCCCAATCTGGGCCGGCCCAAAAGCCTGGCCAGGCTGAACAAGAGCCCCAGGAGCCGTGGGGACTGCCATCAGCCTCTCTTAACACCAAGGGGTGGCTCCCACCAGCTCAGAGGGCCCCGAGGCACACAGAGACAGGCCGGTGAGCCAGGCGAGGGCCCCGGGGCTGCAGGCTGGGCAGGGAGAGGACAGAATAGGCACCATCGGGAAGAGACACACAGAAGGAGCCAAGCGGTGGGAAGGAGAAGAGCAGGAGGAGGTCAGGCGTCCCAGGGGCCTCGCCCCCGTACCAGCTGCTGGCTCACAGCTCTCTTTCTCACCTGAGGGTTTCCACTCGGTCTTTGCTTTCGGGTTCATTCGGGTTCCTCAAAAAACAGAGCGAGGCAGAGTTTAGTTTGGGGCCTTCGGCCACTGCCAGACCCAAGGTAGGGGGGAGACACGGGGGGGGGGACGGGACTCTGCCCGAAGGACAGGGCTTGGCCTCGAGGTCTTTGCTCGACCCCCAACAAGGCTTTCTCAACACGAATCAGAAGGAACTGTCTCTAACTGGAAGGAGCTACTTTTCCCCAGTTCCTCCCCCCTAGCTTTAGCGCCAGGAAATGCAACCACCTATCCCAGCAGCTGGAGGCGCAAAGAGATAGGGCCTGTCTATGTGTCCACACTGAGTCCCAGCCAGGGTCGGAGGCTCCCATCACGGCTGCCCACCCCACTCCCACCCCTCAGCTCCCTGACTCCTAGGCCTAGCAGACGCCCAGGCCGCAGACAGAGAGAGCTATTTGTCTGCCGAGGATCCATCAGGGCTTCTTCCGAGAAAAGCGACAGCAGAGAAGGAGGGAGAGCGGGTGGCTTCCGCCATTCGGAATCGGGAGGGGAGAGACCTGGAGCTGCCTGACTGAGGCCCGAGCGAACGGCAGTTGGCAGGGAGGATGGCGGTGATGGGAGGAAGGGAAGAGGAAGCAGACACTGACCATGAATCCCTGGGGGGAGTAATCCCCATGATCCTCCCTCCCTGCCAGCCAGACCGAAAGGCCATCTGCCGAGGCGGTCTGCTGAGGTATGGGGGGGGGGAGGGGAGGAGGGCCCACGCCCTTCACGTGCTTCTGGCCCCGCTGAGCGGCTTCTCTGGGGTGGGGTGGGGTGGGGGAGGCTAGGAGAACAGGGCAGTAACGGGGAGAGGCATGTGGGAGAGCACAAAGACCCAGACACATAACAAGAGGCACACGAGAACACACCAATAAGTGAGAGAGCAGAGACAACAGGAGCACATTCGCCTGGGCCATCTGCAGGGACGGTGAAAGGAAGGCGTCCTCACACTGGGAAGGAAAGCCACGGCTTTCTCTTGCCCAGGGCCTGGACTGATCAGAGGGCCCAGCTCTGAGCGTCCCTGGAAGCCTGGAGCCTCCTGAGACCTCGGGGGCACCTGCCGGGCCAGCTCCTCGCGGACAAAGGTCAAGGAGGGGTCTCTCCAGAGAGGTGGACACAGGAGATGGACAGAGGGAAAACTCAGGCTTTCCAGCCTCCCCCCCCATGACCTCTGTCCCCTCTTCACTACGCCGCCTCCTGGTGTTTCGGAGGCTCTCAGAAGCTATCCAGGTGGCAGTAAACTAGAGAAATGACGTCTGAGAGCAGGGCACGGAGGTCAGCTGTGAGGAGAGAAAGGGGGGAGCTGCACGTGGGCTGCTGGCACCAGTGGCCTACTGGCACCAGTGGCCTACCAGGAGAGGGCGCTGTTGCTCCCCACACCTGGCCCTCTGACGGGCCTGGCATCCCCATCACCTGCAGGGGTACGAGACCCTTGGAAGGGGGGAGGGAGGAGCTTGGCAGCAGAGCCCTTTCCAAGACACAAGGGAGTGGAGGAGGGCAAAGACCAGAAGGAAAGCGATCAGAGATGAACGGTGAAGAGCCTTCGGCCTCCTTGTCTCTGCATGCACACAGGGTCAGGGGAGAAAAGAGAAAGCACACACCTGTGACCCAGAACCCGGGACACGAGGGGCACGACCATCTTAAAGGGACCCGGCACCTGGGGGGGCCATCCCCTCGCCTTCCCCGGCCCCTCCCCCAAGACAAGAGTACACCTCTCCTCTCGGGAACCTCTCCCAGGGCTGCTGCTCTGCAGCCCAGACCCTGAACCTTCACGTGACCTTCCCTGAATGGCCCACAAAGGCCGAGTGTCTCAAATGTGTACCCCCGGCCCTCACGCTGACCTCTCTAGAGAACGAAGGGGGACTCAGAGTGCTGAGGCCCTAGTCAGCCCCCAGCCAAAACTTTCTTCTCCCCAATGTCTGCTCTGTATGGTGCTGGGGAGGGCAGGCCTGAATCGGCCAGCCGGCATCCCTTTAAGATGTCTGCTGGGAGCCAGAGGCCACACAGACTCCATTAGCAGATGGCAGAGGAAAGAGGAGCCGGGAGAGGGGAGTTAGTGACAGAGACAGGACACGGGGCACAGACACACACAGCGGGCTCAACGCCTACCTTCTGGCAAACCTGAAAGACAGATTTCTAAAAAAAAACAAAAAACAAAAAACAAAACAAAAGAAACAAAAAAGACAAAATAAAAAAGAAATAAAATAAAAAAAACCAACAACAAGACGGTGTGTGGATGAGCAGGTAGGGAGGAGGCCCTTCTGAACCAGGTGTCCACCCTACTCTGGGGAAAGCCACTCAGCGAGACGAGATGCCCAGGGTCGCCGCCCCCTCCCCACAGACGCCCGGCGAGGGGCAGGAGCTCAGAGCCACGGCGTGTGTGGGTGTGTGTGAACACAGAGGACCCAGGTGAGAAAACCCTGAGTGGAGACAGCCCTGGCTGGCAGGAAGCTCCTTCAAAGGGCTCCCCCCCAGCACTGCCCAGGTTGTGGCCGTGGCCACGGCAGCAGGGAGGGGAGACGGTCGCACTGTGACCGGCCCAGGCTGCGCATGGTGTTGGGAAAGGAAGTCTCCGAACCAGCTGAGACCAGAGGCCAGAAGGCGGCAGAGTTCTCCCTTCCTGACCCAGCCTTCGCCTCACGATTCTGCAGCTGCGTCACCAGGATATGAGTTTCCATGGGAACTCAGGAGAGAAGAGGGGGCTTTTATTTTAGCATCCAAGTTCACACTCCCAGGGAGGAGGCGGCATTGGCCATCTGCTTGGGGCTGGGAGTGATGAGGATGTGAAGGAGGGAAGGGGGTTGGGGAGCATGGGAAGTCTGGGTGGTCAATAGAGGAGACAGAGGGTTCTTGGCCTAGGGCGCCCCCCAGGTCCTAATCCTGGCTTTGGTCACCTGGCCAGTGCTAGGAAGGCACCAGTGCTGAAAGCCTGGTCACCTCTGGCTGGACACCCCGCCCCACCCCCCCGGCCACAGCCCCCACTCACCTGCGAACAAACTTGGATGTGAATTTGCTGAAGATGCTGCCGGAGGCCCCCCGTCGGCCTTGGCTGTGGCCAGAAGGAGAGGCAGGTGTGACCCCATAGGGCAGGTTCTGTTGATCCCGCACCTGGCGCAGCTGCCCGGCGTGGAAGGTGCTTCTGCTTGACACCCCCCGGGGGAAGTTGGTCCGTTCCGGGGCTCCCCCACTGCTGCTGATGTTGTGAGCCGAGGGGGAGGCCACAGGGACCCTCTGGGGAGCGGTACTGTGGGGAGAGGGGGAGGGTCAGAGGGCAGCCGCCCTCACCCAAGAACCCTTTCCACACAAGACCCAAAGCATGGTTTGGTTGGGGTGATTGGAGAAGGGAGGCAGCCATTGCAAAGGGAAGGGAACCAAGGGGAGGAGAGATGGGATGAGGAGGGGAAGAATCACTGGAGCGGACAGACTGAGGGTCTGCCCCAAGCTGGCGCGAGCAGCACTGTGCGCTGTCCCTTTGGCCCCTGAGAGGAGCCAAGAGAGGCCTGGGGTCGCAGGCTCTGGGAAGCCCGAGCCACCTTCGTAACCCTCGGCTTCCTGCAGGGTGCCTGTGATGGGGGCTGGGCCCCTTGACCATCCTCCTCAGTCCTCTCTGTCTCCCACCAGGCTGACTGGGACCAAGCAGATCCCTCCCAGGAGCAGTGTCCAGGAGGAGCAGCCCAGCACACTTGCCTGGGCCTGGGCACCTCACAATTACTGTCTGTCGGGGGCAACCCCGAGGCCTTGTTGGGGTGCACGGAGGCCGACATGGACTTCTGGTGCTGGCGGGGCCGTGCCGCAGAGACAGCGGCGGAGGCGGAGGCCGTGGAGGCCCGGGAGCCTGGCATGGTTAGGCTAGGAGACAAAAAAGCAGCCGAGATGCGCAAGGTTGGTTAGGCGGGGTAGCGACAGCAGGCCCAAAGCCCGGCCCAGGGCAGAGCAAGGGGGAGTGAAGGGATGGCGAAGGCCATAGGGGCAGCAGGCAGAAGCCTGGGTCGGGGGGATGATGGAGGAAAGCGAAGGCCAAGGATGGCAGCTGGTGGAGCAGCCCCCTGCCCCGTCCCACCCAGGGTTCTGCGGAGGCTACATCTTAACTGAGCCCAGAGCTGATGGACCTTCCTGGCCAGGTGCCCTCTGACTGAAGGGTACCAGGGGGCTCTGTTCGGCCCCAGCCAGTTCGTTCAGGCTGCCATCCTGGTCTCACTGCCAGGACCCAAACGGTGCGGCCTTAGCCTCCGCTCTCCAACAGCCACGTGCCAGAGTGTCAGGAGATCATCTCTGGGATGAGGAGAAAGAGAGAGGCAAAGCAGAGCCAAGGGGGCCGATGGGGAGGGGGCGGATGGGGAGGGGGGCCGGGTGCCCGCTCACCTGTCCTTGCCGTTCTGGACGGAGCTCTGGCCTAAGCTGGCTCGCTCTAACAGCGGGGAGTTCCGGCTCCTGTTGGTGCTGGTGGAGAGCACGCTGTTCTGTGGGGCACAGGAGGGGGGAGGGAGAGAGACACAGGGGGTGAGCCCCATGCCTTCATGCTGAGACAGTCTCCCACTGAAGACGAAGCCCTGGTGCAGGGCGTCCTGCAGGCCGGGGGCCTCTCTTGAGAGGAGCAGGTGAGAGCAGGGGGCGGGGGCTCACCGTCGAGGGAGTGGGTGTGGCCTTCTTCCTCTCGAGGCCAGGCAGCGGGCTGGCGGGCACCTTGGCGGTGCTGCTGGCCTTCCGCCCGGACTCCCGCTCCTCTTCGGGCCGCCTGTTCTCCGCATTGTTACTCTGTGTCTTCTTGGAGTAGGAGTTGGAGGTGGGGATGGCAGGACCAGCTGCGAGCAGAGCAGGGGGCAGTGGGTGAGGGGGAGGCAGCCTCGAGGACGTGGGGGAGGCCCGCCCCCAGACCCTGCCAGCACTCACCCTGATCGCTGAAGCGTCGCTGCTTGGGGTTGGCGGAGACGCTTCGCTGTACCTTGTGGGATGGGGACGGGGCACCGCTGCTGGTCAGTTCTGCCGACGGCCGTGGCTTCAGTGTGATCGTCTCGCCCTCCAGCTGCAATCCAAGCAGAGCGCCAGGGCGAGAGGGACATGGCAAATGACAACACGGACGCGCAGTCAGACAGCCACCTCCGGGAAGGCCTGGGAACGGACCTGAGTGGGGAGGACTAACCACCCCCGACGCAGGCCCCAGAGGGAGCAACTAACGCTAGGGAGGGAGGGAGAGTGTGCGTGTGTGTGCATGTGTGTTTGTGTGTATGTGCATGTGCGTGTGTGTGTGCATGCATGTGTATTGCGTGTGTGCATGTGTGTATTGCATTGCGTGCTTTGCTTGTGTGTTCATGCGTGTGTGTGTGTGTGTGTGTGTGTGTGTGTGTGTGTGCACGTGCATGTGTGTGTGTTGGGGCTGGGCAACATCCTAGGGAGGAGGGGAAGGAGGCCACGAACACTTCAAGGGGCAGGAGCCTTGCCCACTCACCTCCGAGCTCTTGTAGCCCAGCAGCAGGTAGGTGGCCATCACCTCGTTGTATTTCTGGCCCACTAGGGAGTCCTGGATCTCCTCCCGCGTGTAGCCCATGGAGACCATCAGCTCTGAGGAGCAGCACAAACAGCACAGACCTGGTGAGGCCCCCGGCCCTCGGGCTGCACAGCTTCCCGGGCCCAGCCCCTCGCCGAGGGCCTCACCTGTCCGCCGGGGGTCCTTGTAGTCCGGCAGCGGCTCCACGTACGGCTTGAGTTCGTCTTCTTCGTGCCCCACGTTCATCCACCGGTCTTTCATGATTTGCTGGGGGTGAGAGCAGAAGGCGAGGATCAGAGGGCCCAGGCACGAGCCTGAAGCCCCCTGTCCTGCCCCGCCAGACAGCCCTCCTGCCCCCCCCAACCACTGGGCAGCCCCCCCACCTCCAAAGTGCCCCTCTTGCTGGGGTTGAGGATGAGGAACTTCTTGAGCAGGTTCTCGCAGTCCGTGGACATGTAGAATGGGATCCGGTACTTCCCCCGCAGCACCCGCTCCCGGAGCTCCTGCAAGGGAAGCCGGGGTGGCGGGGCTCAGGGCAGAAAAGGCGCCCGGCCCTGCCCTCCCCTTCAGGAGCCCCAGGCTGAGCCAGGGAGAGGGCACCCGCTGCAGCTCCCACACTTGGGAGGAAGGGAGGAAGCCCCCTGGCTGTCTGGAGATGGCAGGGGCTGAGGGGTGGAGGTGGGGAGCAGCCCTGTCTGAGGCCACAGAGGAGAAGGCCCACAAGGGGGGTTTGCGCCCGCGCCTCGCCCCACCTTGAGGTTCTGGCCGTCAAAAGGCAGGGAGCCGCTGACCAGCGTGTAGAGGATGACGCCGAGGCTCCAGACATCCACCTCGGGCCCGTCGTACTTCTTGCCCTGGAAGAGCTCTGGGGCAGCGTAGGGAGGGCTGCCACAGAAGGTGTCCAGCTTTGTGCCAAAGGTGAATTCGTTACTGAAGCCAAAGTCGGCAATTTTGATGTTCATGTCGGCATCCAGGAGCAGGTTTTCTGCCTGGGAGGGACGGGGAGAGGCAGGAAAAAGGTCTGGGTCAGGAGAGGCTGAGAGCAGCGCGAGCCCTCCCTGGCGAGGTACGGAGCATGACAGGAGTAGCCAACAGTGATGCAGGAAACCGGCGCACAGCGGGAAGGTTTTCAAAGAACTCGGAGCAGGAGAAGAAGCAAAACCCAAAGGGTAGTCTCCACCACACGTCAAGTCCCCGAAGACCCACGGCCGGATGTCCCGAAGAAGGGAGAAAGACCATGCCATCCCCTCTCCTCAGAGAAGGGAGCCCACTGCACTCTCAGGCGGGTTTACTAAGCATGTCCAAAGGGATCTTCGAAGGCCTTTCCGAGAGGGACCGAGAGGGCTTTTTAACATAAAATCCCCATCGGGCCTTTCAGGTGGGCTGCTCCCCTCTGTTGGGTGGAACCAGTAATGAAATGGGGCGAATATGGTCATTGCAGCTACGTCTGTGAGGCCTCAAGGACACAGGTGGGGTGAGGGGGGAGGGTCTGGCTCCAGCTCTCAGTGCTCTCGGCCCACAGCCAAGCTGGGCCGGGACTTGATGGGGAGCCCTAGGTCCCACCCCAAGGGCAGAGAAAAGGGTGTCTCAGGGCTCTCTGCCAATGTCAGGGGGCTCTGAATCTCCCGGCCACTTCCCAAGGAGTGAGAAGCATGTGCTGGGGTCTCTGCATAAGCAGCAGGGAGATGGAGCTTTCAAAGGGCCAGGCAAGCCCCCAGCCCAACCGCCAGCTGAAGACTCTTACCTTCAAGTCTCTATGCACAATGAACTTCTGGTGACAGTACTGTACAGCCGAGACTATCTGGAAGGGAGAGAGGAAGGTAAGGTCAGGAGCAGCGGAGGCCCAGACCATAGACTGAGCCTGGGAGGAGGAGCCAAGCTTGGCTGGTGGGCTCCAGCCAGGGCAGAGGGGGGATAGCAAGCCGGAGCTGCCTCCATTACCCCACGACCCTCCCGACAGGCCTCGACCCAGCATGGGCCAAGGTCCCAGGGGAACCCACCTGTCGGAACTTGGCTCGGGCCTCTTTTTCCTTCATCCTCCCATGTGCTACCAGGTAGTCAAACACCTCTCCTAAAGAGAACAGGGCCAAGAAGGGTCACGGGCCTGGGAGAGCTCGGGGTGGCAGGTAGGGCAGCAGGAAGAGCGGGCCCTACACTCACCTCCGCTAGCGTACTCCATTACAAGATAAAGGGTCTTCTCTGTCTCAATCACTTCAAATAATTTAACTGCAAGACAAGAAGAGTGTGGGCTCTCAGACGGCACCCTAAAGAAGGGCCCCTCCCTCCTGCCCAGAGTCACAGCTAACAAACAAGTGCCTTACAGCTGACAAAGGGCTTGGCAGATGGTGAAGATTCTACAAAGGAAGTCACTGGAGTCCCCGGCTAGCAGTGGGCTTCTTCTGACACCCAGCCCTCTCCCCAGCAGCCCCGGTCTCTCCGAGTCAACTACGCTGCCCTGACTTGGAGGTCTTTGGGTCCCAGGGAGAGTCTTTACTTGTCTGTGCCTCAGTTCCCTTATTTGTCAAACGAGGGCAACGATCTCTCTCTAGCCACCTCACGGGGCTGGGAGCAAAGCGATTTAAAAATGTGACCTGAACTTGTGGAGACGCAGCCCTGGTGGAGGGAAAAGCAGTGCCCAGGAGCCTGGCTCTCACCTATGTTGGGATGATTCAAAACCTTCATTATTCTTACTTCCCGGAACAGCTGGAAAATAAAATGCTGAGGGTCACCCTTATTCCACTTGTGACCTTCTGCTCCACCCCGGCCCCCCTCCAAGTGGGCCTCAGCTCCTTGTCAAGGGGGGGAAAAAAAAGGAGAAAAAATAGGAAGTGTACACCCTATTCCTCCCTAGCCTTCTACTCAGCTGCGTCCTCTAGGCCAAAGCTGGATGGCCATGGCAGACACCAGGCTGGGGTTGGGGTGAAGAAAAGCAGCAAGGTGGACAGAAAGACTACCTTAGGACTCTCCCAGCACTTGCTAAGCCTTCTTTCCTCTTTCCATTGCCTTCCTTAACAAGAGGCCTTGTGGCCGAAGAAGGGTGTGCTACCACCCTCCCCCTTGGGCCCAGCCCAATCCAACGAGGGCAGATATACAGGATTTCCAAGGTGGGGGTCGGGGGAGGGGAGAGAGAGAGAGAGAAAGGGAGTTGGAGAAAGAGTCAGAGAAGAGAGAGGAAGAGAGAGAGAGAAAAAGAGAGAAGAGACAAGGAAAGAGACATAGAAAATGAAGACAGGGAAAGAGAACGAAAGGAAAGAGAGAGAAGTGAGAGGGAGAGAGAAAGGAGACAGTGAAACAGAGAGAGGAGAAGAAGACAGAGGTGCCCGAAAGGCCCCACTGCTCACTGGCGAGCCCAAGGGGTTCCCCCCCCCCCATGACTGTGGGTGAGCAGCGTGCACTGACAGCCCAAGGCTGGTCCAGGGGCAGGGAGGGGAAGGGAATGGAAGCTCCCAAGCCTCTGAGGCCCCCCAAGGTTCTCTCCTCGTGCTACACCACTCTTGGCATTCTCTGGCAAGCACAGAGCCCTGGTCTGGTTAGAAGAAGCTGCTCCTATATATAGCTGATGCCAATTTTAATTAAATCCACCTGCACACACTCACGCTTGCTTTGTGAAACAAAAATGGGGGCTCTCAAACCATCCATCTCCATGAAGAAAGCCGAAAAGGACTAGGTCAGTTCTGCAGGGCCAAGCTCAGGGGGTGCTTCCAGGGGGGTCCAGCCCAGCTGGCTCCAAGCTGAGCAGCAAGAAGGCCTCAGGACCCCCAATTCAGGGAACGGTTAATGCCTAATCCTTGAAAAGAGCTCACAGAGGGATTTCTTTTTGTGTAGGAAGCAAAGAGAAAGGCCAGCTTTTTTATGCTTTCAGGTGTCTGCCTCTAATCTGGCCTCCCTCTCCAGCTCCCCCTCTGCTCCCAGCTGTTTCCCAGGATTCTCCTCTGGCCCCACTGAATGAAGATCAAATCCCGGGCAAGCACTCAGAAAAGAGAGCAAGGAGAGGGAGCTGCCACTCTAGTGACTGGGATGGAACAGAAAGCCATTCCAAAAGCCAATCCAGGGTCACCTGGGCACTCCCATCACACCTCCCCCTCTCAGGTCCTATCAGTGACTCAACTCCAGAAAAGGCACCAAAGTGAGAGTCCTCTGGGAGTGAGGGGATCTAGGACCTCTGGAGGCTGCTAGGAACCCGTGTGTCCTGCCGTGGGGGCATCCTTGTCCGAGACCACGGCTCACCAGAAGGAAGGAGGTCGAGATTCACACTGGCCTTAGTAAAGGTCACTTCACTGGCTCAGTCTCACTGGTGGTGAGGGCAAAGCCCAGCGAGAAGTCAAATCCTTGGCCTCCTGGGAGGTCACAAGATGGCAGCCCAAACTTTTCTAAGGGCTAAGGCCACAAACCACACCAGCATCTATTTCGATGACAGGGGGGAGGCTGTTGCCGTAGCCAGGCAAATACAGCCCTTCTCTGCCTCACTCCAAGAAGGCCTTTCAGAAAGCCCAAAGTAGGGATACTGGAAAGGGCAGTTAACATTCTGGGATTCAAGCAGAAGGAAGTCCCATTTCTTGGTTCTGACTCCCAATGTGTCAGGTAAGCCAACACCACCATTCAATTCCCTGACTGAACCACCATTGCCTTGACCCCAGCTCTGGCAACCTTGCAATTCTGCTCATCCTGATTCTGTGAGCTGAGGTCCCAGTCCCTTCTTCTAGATCAGAATCCAAGCCCCTCATCCAGAAATGGGCCCAGAAGAAGTGTAACAGAGCTAAGTGGCTGCATTTTGGTGGCCTGGGAAATGAGGCTACCTAGATCAGGCAGACACAGAGCCTCCCTCCCCCCTCTGCCAAGGCCCAGAGGAGAGAGTTCCCACTTTTACTGTTGCTATGACAACCAGCTACTGGCAAGCTTTTCCCTTCTGCAAAAAAAAAAGCTGGCTCCCTTTTCTCCTTGCCAGCAGCTTCTCAGTTTCTGGGGCCAAAATAACTACAATCTGCCTAGGGGCTCTCCCCAGTGCCAAAGGACATCCTCTGGTCCCCAACTGCGAGGCAGGGAGAAAACAAATGTCCTGCTCCCAGGTCAGAAAAGACCCCAGTGATCCCTAACACAAAGGGTCTGGAAAACCACGAGGGAGAAGGAAGGGTGCCTTCCCTAAACTCCATCTGCCACCTCAGGGTTTGGACCAGAGTCTAGCTTCTAAATTTGACTACGGAGTCACTCACTCCCTATCCCTGCTCAGCCCTAGGCACTGGTTGTCAAGGAAACAGTGTCAACCATTTCCACGGGCCCTCAGAGAACTTACCCTGCACCCCCTCAACACTCCCAGTGTCTCTGTCTTCTCAAAGTACTTGAAGTTGGGGTGCTAAACCAAGTGAGCCAAACAGCCCCTCTAAAGCTTGAGGGGAAAAGGAGCCTGGGGGGTAGTAGTCAGCCTGGAGATACAACCAAGGCCAGGAAGGCCCACCAGGCCAGAGAGAAGGCAAGCTTTTGGCAGAAAGGATCAAAGAGGGGGTCTTGTCAGCCCCCCCAGCCCTCACGTGGGTAGGGCCAGTGGGTACTCTCTGCTTACTTTCTGGAGGCTGGAAGAATTGAGCTGGGTCTTGTCAATGATCTTCACCGCCACCTGAAGGGAAGGAAGCACAAAAGTCTTTGGCCCGAGGGCAGAACCAAGAAATCAGAACCATCCTCTTTCCCACACCCACTTTGCTGCTCAGACCAGAAAGCAGGAACCTGATGCAGTGCTGTGGCCGTGGTGGCCCCCAGAAAGGCGATCACCCCCACGCTCCCTCGCTCACCTCCTTGCCAGTCAGGACATGCCGGGCCAACTTCACCTTAGCAAAGTTGCCTTTACCGATGGTCTTGAGGAGCCGATAATTGCCGATGTGTGGCTGCTCGTCAGCAGACGTGGCCGAGTTGCGGCCACGGAGCATGTTGGCCTTACTGCTGGGCTTGGCGTCCAGGTGTCCGAGGGCCGGCTGCAGGAAGGAGGCACAGACAGTTAGAGAGACTGACTGCACTCTGCCTTTATAACCTGCTCAATTCTAGGGCTAGGAGGGAACCCCAAGAGGACTCTTCGGGGAAGAAGGATGTGAATTCACCTTCACCAGCATGATCCCTCAGTGCTCCTAGCACTGGCTTCGTGGAAGGTCTGTCTCCAGACTCATCCAGTCTGCTACCAGACTCATCTCCCTCAGCTACACACCTGGATCCCCTCACTCTCCTTAGAATCTTTCAGTGGCTCCCTAGTACAGCTCACAAGGTAAGGCCAAGCTCCTCTGCCCCCAAGGGTCTGTCCCTGCCATCATCCAAGCCTTGTCCCATACTTCCTGTCCTCCAGCCCTACACACAAATATGTGCCTTTTCAGGGAGTACCCCAGGCCTGCAGTTGGCTGCCCCACCCCCTTTTACCTGGCTGTCTCCCTTGTAAAGCTCAACTCAGATGAAATCCTGCTGAGCTTTCCTTCCTCGGGCCTCTGAGAACAACCTGATGCCTCCTTGTACGTATCAAACACAAACACCATACTCCCTGAACCATGACATGAATGGACGTGTCATAAGCCCTGAGACCACAGGCTCCCTGGGCTTACCATTATTTTGTACCTTAAGTATATATATGCTTTGCACACAGCAGACCCTGCAGCACTTGCTAAATTTAACTGAATAGCTGTGAACAGGTTAAGCAACTTGGGCAAATAGAAAGAACAGGAAAGAGTCCTGGGTTCAAGTCTGGCCTCCACATTCCCACATTAATTGGTGGTTCTCAGAACCTCAGATCTGTACCAAGAGAACACTGCTCTGGAGCTGCCAGCAGGGTGAAGATGGGAATTCAGGTCTGGGCAGACATTAATAGGTCCAGGTGGTCTCTCCCATCCCCGGAGAACTGAAGCACCTTGGGAGGCAGGCAATGGTTTTCCTGCCCCTTTGTATTCCTAGGCTGAGCTTGGGTGTTGGTGGAAGGGTGGGGGGGGGAGAAGGGATCATTTTTCTGCCAGCCCTTATTAAGTGCCCCACCCTCATCCAAAATGCTTACAACATTCAAATGGAGAGAAACCTGCCCCTGGGACCAGGTTTCCTGGGCCCTAGTGAGGTCCTTCCCGGGTAGGAGGGACAGAAGGCAGGAAGGCTGGAGAGCCAATTCCCTCAAGAATGGGCTTACTAGACTCAAGGACTTCTCTTAGGCCCCTTCTAGGGCTAAAATCTGTTATCCTGTGACTTCTATGAATCCGAGTTCTGGAAGGAGATGAGAAGGGCTCGACCAGGTCAGATGAAGCCTGGCTTTGGGACATTTTGTATGCAGAGCCCCATTTGGTGAAAGCTGATCTCAGTCCCTTACTCGAGACCAATCTGGAGCTCCCTCTGCATGGTGGGTAACATACAAAACTGGGGGAAGTTAAGAATGTTACAGGGTTCAGTGACCAGTGGATTCTTTCACATTGTATCCCCCCAATGACAAGCCTGGAGGCCTCAGAAAATGGACTGGGGGGGGGGGGAAGGTCACATGCACAAGGAGTGGGAAAGATCTGTGACCTAAACATCTTGCAAGGTGAAAAACTCTTCTTGACCCAACCTTGACAAATTTAACAGATTTAGGTAGAATAAAACACACTAAGTGAGGGGAAGCCTGCAGTCAGGAAGACTCCTCTTCCTAAGTTCAAATCTAGCCTCAGACACTTACTACCCATGTGACCTGGGCAAGTCACTTTACCTTATTTGCCTCAGTTTCCCCATCTGTAAAATGGGCTGGAGAAGGAAATGGCAAACCACTCCTGGATCTCTGCAAGAAAATCCCAAATGGGGCCATGGAGAGTCAGGCTTGAGTCAACAATAACCACGTCTGCCATGAAGCCTTAAAAAAATGAGCCAGGGATAGAAACGGCAAACCACTCCAGTGAGCTCTGTCAGGAATAGCCTAAATGGGGTCATGGAGATGCAGGTCCATTCTCTCTTACTGGACCTTGAGGGGAGTGAACTGAGGCCCCCGCCCTGGGCAGATTGGCCCAAGGAAGCAGTCTTAGAGTTGGGATTGCAGGTGTCAGCTAGTGGCAGGAATGCACCCCTAACAACTCCAAGGGCTCCTCCCAAGGCAGCTGGACCATCACCCTGGATTGAAATCTATCTTTCTGGTCATCAGTTTGTGGTTTTTTTTCCTACGTCCTCAGGACAGATTGAGTACCCCACCTAACTTGGGCACCTACTAGTCTTGAAAGAAAGTGTCATGTTTTGTTAAATTTTTGATTAACACTTCTTGTTGGGAAATTTGATTCCACTTAACTTCCGTTGGGGCAGCTAGGTGGCACAGTAGATAGAGTGCTGGGCCGGGAGTCAGGAAGCCTGGAGTTCAAGCCCAGCCTGAGACACTTACTAGCCGTGTGACCCTAGGCAAGTCATTTCACCCTGTTTGCCTCAGTTTCCTCATCTGTCAAATGAGCCAGAAAAGGAAATGGCAAATCACTCTAGTATTTCTGCTAAGAACACCCCAAATGGGGTCATGAAGAGTCAGACACGAGTCAACAATAACCACGTCTGCCATGAAGCCTTCTCTCCGTCTTCTGGAATCAACATATTCTAGAGACGTTAGTTCAGTTCTGTGTCCAAGATAAGTGTTCGATAAATATTTATTTAATGAATTAATAAAACCAAGGAAGGTCCGTATCCAGCAGAAAGCATGGCGCAGCAGGGACCAGCACCTAGACATCCAGACTTTGCGGTCCACGCTAAGGTCAGACTTGGCCATGGCTCACCCTAGGAGGACTTCCTAGAGGTCAGGCCTTGGGGACATTGGGAGAGGTGGGCAGCCTCTCCCCCAAACTTCCCCATCAGGGCAGCAGAGAACAGCATGGTGACTCCAGAGACAGAGAAGAGGACCTAGAGTCCACAGCCTCTGTGACTCGGGGTGAGTCGTCGTGTGTCCGTCCCCCCCTCCGCTCCCCGTGCCCCAGGTGACTCTAAGGCCCCAGAAGCTTCCTCACTGGGAGCTCTCCAGATAGAACAGACAGAAGCCCAGGTCCATCCTCCCCTCACTCTCGCCTCCTCTTCAAGAATGAGGAATGAGAACAAAGTCAGAGACAGAGGTGGGGAAAGGGGACGATCACAAGTCCTTAGGTGCTTCTGGTTTGCAAAATGCTTTACATCTGGTCTCCCTGGATCTGAGAATGACTGAGTGATTGTCCTCCTCCCCTCCCCCACCTCCTCACCAAATAACAACCACAAAAACCCAACACCCCACACAGAAGGCGGCTCGAGGCAAAGGCCCAGGCCCAAGAGAGAGTCTGGCTGGGCACCTGTGCCCTTTACTTTACAGAAGCCAGAGCCTGGGAACTCCCAAGAGGCCTCAGTTCAGCATCTGGTCCATCAGGCCAAGGGCCCATAATGCAGCTGGCACAGATCTCAAGCATGCCGGCTTCTCCTTCTAAATTTCCCAGAGGGAATCAGGACCATGACAACAGGGGCACGGAGCCTATGGAAAGATGAACCGTCCTTGAGGCGGCAATCTAGCACAGCGCGTCCTCTGCCTCATCTCCCTGCCCCTAAGCCAGCACAGCATCAATGGAGAGCTAACTACAGAGCTTGGTCCCAAGAGCCAACGTCTGGACAAGGCTCCCAGGGCTCTCCCCTGGCCCACATATGACTCCACACTTCCAGCCTTCCTTCCTTTAGGCCAGAGGGAGCAGAACCTCTAGGCATTCAACATGACTAGCAACTGTGTCCACTGGCTGAGTTATCGCCCAGTCAAAAATCCTTACCAAGTGAGATGTGGTGGGAGCCAAGCTCCCAGGAAGAAGCTGTTAGTCCTTGTAAGTAGTTCAGGCTTCTTTTGGATGCCAAAGTCGCCATGTCTCCCTAAGCCCCAACTGGAGCCTCCTCCTTCCATTCTAGCACCATAGAAGGGGTCTTTGTTGAGGAGACGGTCCTAGGGCCCTGACTAAAGAGTCACCTGGATATTCTGGGGCCTGGGGCCTTCTTCACACTCTATATCACTTTAAGAGTTCCCCTCTGCTCTTCTAGCCAGGTAACTCAGCCTGAACCTCAAGCCCAAGTAAGCCCAGAAAGGTTTGGCTGAGCTTGGCCTCCTGTCACCATGACATGGTTGAGGGGGTCTTGGACTGAGAGTCAGAAGGGGATTCAAAGCCCACCTTGGTCACTGACAGAAGCCATTGCTAAGAACCTCTCAGTTTTCTCATCTGTGCAATGAGGGGGTTGGACTTGGGTTCCTTCAGCCTCAGAGAACAGGTAAGCCCTCGGAGCACCTCTAGCCTGCCCTCCCTGCCCTTATTCTCTCAGAAAAGAACTGGATTTTTGTTTAGCTGTTTGGGGGTGGGGTAGAGATAAAAGAGTTCCTTTCTCCAAATGTCTAGGCAAAGTGCCTCACTGGAAACTCTTGGGAAACCTGCTTGAAGTTGAGGCCAGGATCTTGAACCAAAGTGGTCACTAGAAAGGAGAACTTGAGGCCCAGATGACAGAACCAGCACCTGAAAAGCTTGGGAAAAGGACAGAGGCTAAGAGAGAAGGAAGAAAGGCCTATGAGCCTGGGATCCTATAGCTCCTTCCAGGCAGGGTGCCAGGATCGCCCGGAAGACAGCTCCACCCTAGGAGGACAGGCCCTGACTCAGGCAGGCAGCACCCCTTCCCTAATGGTAGAAGCTTTCCCCGACAGTTCCTCACCTGGGCTTCTACAGGAAGGGCTCACCTAAGGTACCATGGGGGGGGGTACCAGGGAGGGGCAGAGGTAGAAGAGGTAGGAAGCAGGCTGGGGGCAGCCACACACACACTGGGCGCACTCTGGAGCAGGATCAGTCAGGCTAGAGGAGAGGCTTCGCTGGGAGAGAGGGGTCTGATTTCAGTCACTGAAGCCTAGCAGTGGGCCTGGGGGCAGTGTCCCTAGAATGGCAATACATGCCCTTTTCCAGTGTTTATAATCATGCTGCCTGGTCCAGTTATCTGTCTGGGAAGCCCCTCCCCCCCCTCCACCTGGCCAGCTTACTATATAGTAACCCTGACAGGAGGTGGGGGTGGGGGTGGGGAAGGATCTTCTCCCTGGTGATCTGCCATTCTCATTCCTCAATCACCAAGCTGACCCCCTTGCTCCCAAGAAAGCCTTCCCAGTGGCTCTTCCCACCCTATACTGTCCCTCAGCTCTTTAGCAACTGCTAAAAACCTCAATTCTACAGGGTTCTAGGCCGGGAAGAGATGAAAACATACCCGTTCTGAGAAAGGGGCAGGGAGCGACGTCGACTTCCATTCAGCAGGGCCCAGGAGAACCTGTCAGGCAGCGAGGGCAAAGTACAGAGGCCTCAAAGAGCCAGGCCCAGGGTGGGGGAGCTGGCTCTGCCGCCTCCCGGCGACACCTTCCACCACCTCCTCAGTGAAAAGTGAGGAAGCAGCTAGGCTGAGCAGCTTCAGCCAGGGAACTTAAACTGTGTCGCAACCGAAACCACCACTAGCCTCGAGAGACCAGGTTTAGCAGGGGGGAGGCCCGGGACCCAAGCAAGAGGCTTATCCCAGAGCCCCAGTCGCCAGGAAGTGGAGTCCCGGAGAAGTTCACAAGGAGCCAGGTGGGAGGAAAGGGGCGGGAGAGAAGGGGAGAAGGGAGGGAGGGAGAGAAAGAGAAAGAGAGGAGGACTTAGAGCAACTTCCTGCTCCCTCCCCCTCCCCCCAGGAAGTGGCTTGCCCCACCCTCTTAAGGTGAGTCGCTGGGACTACAGATGACGGAGCCAGCCAGGGCCCATCATCAAGTCCTTATCTCACCTCCAGCAGGTGGGCCCTGCCACCCTGGGTCACACCCTAAAGGAGAAAGGGAAGGAGGGAGATCAGGGGTTTAGAATTAGAATGGACCCGAGGGTCATTCTTTTATAGATAACCAAACTGTGGCCCAAGATGTGACTGGCCCAAGGGCACAAGTAGTAAGGAGGGGAAGGGGGCCTGAATTTGAACCCAGGCCCTCAAGCGTTCCTTCTGCTGGACTGGACTGGACTATGCCACAGCGCCTTCTGTGTCTCAGCCTGGATCAGGTCAGGCCACGAGAGGTAGGAAGGAACTTCCTGGAATGCACCAGAGGACCGGACCCTGTAGACAGCCCCGAACCAGAAAGCAGGAGGCCTCCTAATAAAATGGATGGCTTTGTAGGCCTCACACAAGACCTCTCCAAGTCCTCGAAGGGCTTCTCCTGGGGCCTCAGAGCACCCACAGCTCCTCCCCAGGGGGCTGCCCTCTTCCAAAAAGGGCCTCGTGCTCTCTCCTCGGTGACCACTCTGTGGTCAGGTCAAATGACTCAATTCTCTCTGAACTTAGTTTCCTTGGCCATAAAAATTAGGAAGCTGGAAGAAATGATCTCCAAGGCCCTTTCTCACAATCTCATTTGCTCTCCTGGTTGTTTCTCTCTCCAGTAGATGGTGACCTTGGTGCCTCACGAGTGTCTAGTCTCAGAGTATGCTACACCCAAAGATGCTCACAGATCAGCGCTGCTGCACACAGTGAAGAAGGCGATGGGATTCCTACACTGCTGGATGACATGACAGCCCCCTCCACCAGCAGCCTTCTCACCCCAAGCTGACTGGGAGGAGTGAGCATATGCTACTACTGGATCAAACTGCCTCTCGAAGGGATCTCAAAGGCAAAGCCCGACAGGAAGCTGCGGATCTGACTGACTGTTCACATCTCTCTTCCCTGGCCCCATCACCACACTTGGACCTCTGTAAGAGGTAACTTCCTTTGGATCTTAAACTCCAACTGCAGCCCCACGGAACGGTGTAGGGGTGGACACCGAAGCTGTGAGCTGTGCCCCTGCCCAGCCCAGCACTGCCTTGGCTGATGGGCTCCACACAAGTTGGAGACTTGTGAAAATCAGAGGGTTGGCGGTCCCTCTTTCTTTCTAAGCTGTTGTGAGTCAATAACTCAGAGGTACAATCTGAGAAACAGAAATGTATTACAAATCAAAGATAACACTCTAGAAATTCAGACTCCAGTTCCACTTGGACAATCACAGAATTTCATTAACATCCAAACACAATAACAGAAGGCTGGGACTGAGAAAATCAAGGTCTTGCCCCTTTTTCCTAACCAGACTACTTAGCTTCTCCAGAAGGGAAAGGCATCACAGACCACAGAGGTCAGGGAGAGGGAAGCCCACAGCAGTCCTCGGGTTCTACTAGCAGGAGACATGCATGCCTTTAGGACATGGGGGCAACCTAGGCCCCACGCCCCAAACAAAGAAGTTTGGACTGAAGCCAGAGTCCAGCAGGGAAGAGGTGATCCACATCCAGGTCCCTGCGACCTGGAAGTGAAAAGGGCATTAACACCAAGTTAATCACCAGCCTCCTGAGCCAGAGAGACATTCAACTCTAGGCTCAGACAGATGGGCCCACCTGGGAGCAGAAGCAGAGCCCTGCCATGGAGACCTGTAAAGCCATGGTGTAGATGGAGACAGTGACCATCTCCCACACCCCTGGCTCCAAGGAAAGAGGAGAGGGCACAACTCCACAGAGGAGCTGCCTCCTTCGGGGTTTGGGGACCTTTCTTTCACCGTACTGCAACATATGCCCTTTCCTCTTTGCTTAGGACCCTCACTGCCCTGGAAGGGGTAAACCTCTTCTTGGCTAAAGCCTAGCCTGGCAAACCTTTGCCTGGAAAGGGTGATGGGTAAAGAGGGCCCTTTCTAGCTGCCCACAAGAGAAGGTGGGTGAGAGAAGAAAACACCTTCCCCCCAGCAACAGGCAGCTTGGAAACTTCTTTTGAGGCCCAGGCAGTGTACCTCAAGCCCTTCTTCCCTGACTTAGCCCTGGGACTCCTTCCTCCCATGCAAAAGTGGCACAATAGTACCATGTGGGGCAAGGGGGTGGGGGTTGGAAAGTGCTAGCGCACACGTGTGTGCTCGTTTGCTCGCGTGCGCACGCACGCGCGCGCGCGCACACACACACACACACACACACACACACACACACACACACACACACAGAGACACTTGCCTTCCCGCACTAGTGGGTTACTGTAACCATGGCAACTAACAAGTTCCTTCGCATTACAGCAGAGATTGCATGCTGGGGGTGGGGGGTGGGGGGCAGAGAGGGAGAAAGCATGACTTTGGTTGGCACGCAGACTCACGGGGAAGCTAAGGTAAACCTGGGGTCGGCAGCTTAATGATCGTCACGGGACCTTGGGCAAGTCATTTGCCCTCTTCAGCCCCTAAATTTCTCTTCCGGTTCCAGCCTGAGGATCTCTGCAGACCTCAGAAGGCATGGGGCCAGCTCCTCTCCGAGATGGTGCCTAGTGATCTCTAGGACTCTGGGGGTGGCCCTGGCTTCTCTCTGTCAGATGCCACCATGCTGGAAAGAGAGCCCACACAGTCCCTGCCCGCAAACGGGATGCTGTAAGGAAGCTCATCACTTGGTGATAATGACCATGGCCACCCAGAACACGAAGAAAAGTGGTAAAATGAGCCTCCTTCGCCCTTTTATCTGCCAACAAAATGCAGGCATTATTTCTCTTGGGTTAAGAAAAGGAAAGGGCTTAACTTTCAAATTTCTACTCCAAGTGACATTGTAGGATTAGAGACTCCTAAATCAAGGACCTCCAGACAATCTGGGTGTAAGCTAGCCGGGCAGTAACTCATCCAGATTCCCTAAGCTAGTGAGTGACAAAGTCGCTATGAGAACAAGGCCTCCTGCCTCCTCCTGGCCTCTCTGGCCCATGGGCAGGCCCTATTTCTACTCCTGATCCTCTGTCCTGCCATGATCACATTTGGTGCTGGAAAAGACCTTGAATATTATCGAGTCCAACCCCATCATTTTAGAAATGAAGGTGCGTGTACAGATGGGAGTATATGAAAGCAAAGGAATCTTACTGACCCCCCAAACCCACTAACTATGAGGGATTCAGAGAAACTTGGGAAGACTTATTTGACCTCTCTGTCTCTCTCCCCACTTTTCTCTCTCTTTCTCTACCTCCCTCCCGGGTCACAGAATCATTGATTCTCATGGGCAGAAGATACCCCTGAAACCACCTGGTCCAACCTGATCCTTAAGAATATCCTAACAGCCATCAAGATGTCTTCCAAACTTTATTTAAAAACTTCTCGAGGAGAAAGCCCCTCGAGCCCACTGCATTTTTAGGGAATTCTGTTAGGAAGAATTTCCTTAAAGCAATCTGGAATCTGGCAGAAAACTTCTGTAGCTTCGCTCCCATTGTTCCTAATTGCTAAGGTGCCCCCATCTCCCCTTGGATGCCATCACCATCCCTGAGCAGGCCCTCATCACCTCTAACTTGAGTAACTGTCAGTATGTGCTGACTGGTTTCCTTGCCGCAAGTGTCTCTCCACTCCCATCACCTTCCACCCAGCTGGCTGCCAAATCAATCAATCTTTCTCTCCTCCCCCCCCCCCCCCGGCAATTGGGGTTAAGTGACTTGCCCAGGGTCACGCAGCTAGTGTCCAGCATTCGCCAAATTTTTCTAAAGCACAGATCTACCCATGTTACTGTCCCCTCCACTCCATAAACTCTAGGGGCTCCCTACTGCCTCCAGGATCAAATACAAAATGCTCCATTCGGCATTCCAATGCCCTTCCTAACCTAGCCCCCTCCTGGCTTTCCGTCTCCTTATAGCTTATTCCTCAGTGACACTGGCCTCCTGGCTGCTCCATCTCCTGATTCCAGACATTATTCTCTCTATTTGTGCCCCATACCCAGAATGCTCCCCCTCGTCTCTGCCTACTGCCTTCCTTCAAGTCCCAGTTAAACTGCCACCTTTGACAGGAAGCCTTTCCCATTTCCCACTAATACCAACACCTTTCTTCAGTTGATCATCCCCCCCCCCATCCTGTAAATAGTTCGTTTGTACGTGGTTGTTTACTTGGTGTTTCCACTATTCGACTGTGAGCTCCAGGAGGGCAGGCACTGATTTTTGCTGTTCTTTGTATTCAAAGTCAGTCAATAAGCACCATTAAGTATGTCATAGGCACTGCCCCGTCCTAGGGCTACAAAGAAATGAAACAGACCATCTGCCCTGAAAAAGCCTACGACGGAACAAGGGAGATCACATGTAAACAACTGTGTACAAACACGGTAGAGACAAGATAAATATGAACTAACCAACAGAGGGAATGAAGAAGGCTCACCAAAGTTTTCCTGGAGAAGGTGGGATTTTAGCTGGGACTTAGAGGAAGCAGAGAAGTAGAGATGAGGAGGGAGAGTGCTCTAGGATGGGGACACAGAGAAAATGCTGAGAATCTAGAGACAGAGTACCTTGTTTCAGGAACAGCCAGAAAGCCAGTGTCACTGGCCTGAATAGGACATTTTGGGGAGCAAGGTGTAAGAAGACTGGGAAGGCAGGAGAAGCTCAGGCTACGAAGGGCTTTGAACATCAAACAGAAGGTTCTGTATTTGATCCTGAAGGCCATACAGAGCTACTGGAGTTTGCTGAGTGAGGAGGCAACATGATCAGACGTGCATTTTAGGAAGATCACTCTAGCCAGAGCTGAGTGTTGACAGGAGGGAATGGGGAGAGACTGGAGGCAGGCTGAGGAGATGAAGGTTGGTATGAGAGTGAGGGCAGTGTCAGGAGAGAAGCAGAACAGTCATGAGATACTG